CATGACCCAAGCCGAAGGCAGACGTGTAATCGGCTGAGACACCCAGGTGCCCAAAATTGAGTTATTTTAGAGAGACAAAGAAAGCATGTGGTATAGAGGAGAGGGGCAGAGGAAAGGAATTTTCAAGCTGACTCCCTACTGAGTGTGGAGCCCCACTTGGGACTCCAGGCAAGGCTGGATCCTACAAGCCAGGAGATCATGACCTGACCCTAAACCAGGAGATGTAATCTTCATCAACTGACCACAGAGGCATCCCTACAAGTGGGATATTTTCTTTCTTTTTTTTTTTTTTAAATATTTTATTTATTTATTTGACAGACAGAGAGAGATCACAGTAGGCAGAGAGGCAGGCAGAGAGAGAGAGGAGGAAACAGGCTCCCCGCTAAGCAGAGAGCCCGATGAGGGGCTAGATCCCAGGACCCCGGGATCATGACCTGAGCCGAAGGCAGAGGCTTAACCCACTGAGCCACCCAGGTGCCCCTAAGAGGGATATTTTCTAAAGAGCAGTTAGTTTCACAGCAAAACTGAGTATAAGATATCAAAATTTTTCGCAGGTTCCCTGGTTCTGTATTTGCATAGTGTTCCTTGAAATCAACATTCCCCCACCAGACAGAACAGTTCTTACAATGCTTCCAAGGGTGTAACAGGTAGTTCTTAGGGCTGTGAACAAATCTTCAATATCACAGTGGTCTGTGGCTCTCCAAGCTCAAACTTGGAACAGTCTAACAAAACCTTCTCCCTTAGTATTTTTATCCTCTCATTGGGTTTTCTTGGGTATCACACAAGAAGCATGGACATGGAATTTGTGGCAGATACATGAAATGTCTGCAGAGAGTGCAACAGACCTGGGGCTAACATGTTGCTGTGATTGAAGGACTTTCTCTGGATCTCAAGGGCACACTAGGACAGGTGGTCTTTGCTTACTCTTGAGCTGTCATTGGCTGTCTTGCGGATGTTTTTTTCTATCTGAGCCTTGATGTGATGTGGTCTTTTAGAGTTAAATACAAATTGATTACATTTTAGTACTTAATTCTACAAAATGTATTCAGTACATCAGTAATTATAGATAGAGCTAAACAGAAAATATATTTTGAAAATACCTTGATAAGTAACTAGTAGCATGTGAAGTTACAATTTATTTTCTCAGCTGAGGTAACATTCAAATTCAGTACACTAAAAATGTGTAAACTAAATAATTTAAGTTTTCAAATGCTGTTAGGAACTTGGAATGGTTTAAATATTTAAATATATGAATTAATTATTATGTCTTTGTAGAAATTGTTAACTTGCATGTGTGCTATATAAATTACAAATTATAAAGTAAATATATTATAGGTCACTCATCAAATTTAATTATACTGTTAAGCACCAATAGCTTTGAAATTTGACTCTAAGCTTAAAATTATTAGTCATTCTTAACCCTGCATTGAGTTAAGAATAAAAAGAGTAACTTGACACTTTCTTTTGTATGTACAAAGCTCAGATATAAATACAGTACATAACTGTACAAATACTGTATCCATGTTATTAATTTCTCTGGAAGGTTCAATTAAAAAACATCAGAGGAGACTCTGGAGGCAAGGGAAATCATGAAAAATATGTACATAGAGTTGGAAAACAGTGCTCTAAACCAGTATAAGGTGAAGAAAGGAAAGCAAAAAGAGAAGTAGAAAGTAAGGGAGACGTTCAGAAATTGAAAACTCCTTTGTCCCCTACTTAAGCCATATGCACAAGAGAAGATGTTCAGAGAATCTAGAGCCACGGGTCCCAGACATGCCCACCCCAGCCAGGCCAACAGCATCTGCAGGATCTCCCATGGCCCTGCTGTGCTCCTTCTTGGTGGCCCTGGTGGTGCTCAGCTGCCACTCCCTCGGCTCTCTGGGATGTGACCTGCCTCAGGACCACAGCCTGCTGAACTGGAGGGCCTTGATGCTCTTGAGACAAATGAGGAGAATCTCCCTTATCTCTTGTGACAAGTACACAAATGACTTTGCTTTCTCCAAGAAGGTATTTGACAGCAAGCAGCTGCAGAAGGCTCAAGCCCTCTCTGTCATCTATGTGATGAACCAGAAGACCTTCCACCTCTTCTGCACAGAGGCCTCACCTGCTCCCTGGAACACGACCCTCCTGGAGGAATTGTGCTCAGGAATTTATCAGCGGGTGAACGACCTAGAAGCCTGTCTCATGCAGGAGGCGGGGGTGGGAGAGATGCCCCTCGTGAATGGGGACTCCATCCTGAGGAACTACTTCCAGAGAATCTACCTCTATCTGCGAAAGAAGCAATATAGCCCTTGTGCCTGGGAGATGGTCCGAGCAGAGATCATGAAACCCTTGTATGCATCAACGATCTTGCAAGAAAGATTAAGGAGCAAGCAATGAGACCCAGTTCAACATGGAAATGATTCTCTCTGACTAATAATACCAGACTTTCCAGAGTTCTTCTGTCTGGAGTGTCAAAGACTCTCATTTCTGCTGTTATCATGGCATGAATGGAATCAATTTGTCGCATGTTCTCAGGAGTACTAAGCAACATTAAGTCAACGGTACAAGCACTTGTGGCTTTCAGATGATCATGCTGATCTGTCTATTTAACTATTTATTTCACTATTTACAAGATTCAAATTATTTTTCTCTGTATAATAACAGGCACATTTTCACTTTGTGGCAATACAAATATACATGCTACACATTTATTAAATTTTTGTTCATTAAATGTTTCTGTAGAAAAATTCTTTTATTTGTAATTGTTTCTTATTGAAAGAGAAGGGGAACCTGGGTGGTTCAATTGGTTAAGTGGCTGCCTTCTGCTTAGGTCATGATCCTAGCAGCCTCAGATTAGATCTGCTCAGCTCAGTTCAGAGTCTGCTTCTCCCTCCCCTTTCTCTTGTGCTCTCGCTTGCGTGCACTCTCTCCCCTTCTCATATAAATAAAGAAAATCATAAAAAAAGAAAGAGGAAACAAGTGTGATTACAATGTGATGAAAGAACAGATGGTACAACTCACTCAGTATTTCGTGATTCACATTAGAAATAATACCATAGACTTCCTGGCAGTCAGTTTGTATGTTGTCCTCAGGTTAAAGACAGATGTAACAAATCCAATCCCTGTCTGTATCATTTAGTTTTGTAGAAAAATCAACCTCCAAGCAATAATCATAGTGAATTAATATCAGTTATACTAAAGGGTAGAAGGAGAAGAAAAGAATATGGGAATTCTGAAAGTAGAAAAGGAAGCAGACAGGTCAGGAAATAGAATCAAAGCACTAGTTACCTTCCACATCACACTGGTAGCCATCCAAGTGCCAATATCCTTTACAAAACGAATTTTTGAATCTGCCATTTACAAGCCATTCCATTCACTTAAAGCCCAGCAAGGGAAATGGTCGCCTGGGAAAAGAGTGTAAAATGAGAAAAGGATTTAAAAGTGATGCCTCAAACCACCACTGGTCAGGGTAGCAAAGAGCCACACTGCAAACAAAGGTGGAATGGCCCTAAGGCAGTAGCGTAAGAGCGAATATTGGTTAAGAGTCTATTTCAAAGCCAAAAAAGGCTTCAAGGAATTGCATCATTGCAAAGGGTGCATGGAAAGGGTCCACAAAGCTTGGAAGTACAGGGTTTGTGTCCCCGGGTATGAGCTGTTTTGACTGAATTATTCACCAGAAACCATACTGGAGGAGGACGAAGGGTGAGGAACAGAAGAGAAGTTAGTGACTATAGACACAAAATAGTTTTGAGAGATTTACCTTCTTTGGACAAATTTAAATTTGATAAGAAAATGAAAAAAATAATTGAAATGGGTGGTCTTCTAAGCCATGTAAAGCATATATAAAGAAAAGCAAACAAAAATGAAATGGCATGAAAAGTGTACAGGAACATTCTGTAAATCAAACTACCCTGTTCTATTGAAGACTAAGGAATAGAAAGAACTGAAGATGAACTGGGGGCCAGGGCGCCCCCCACTGGTCCGCCAGGCCACCAGAAGCCCTCAGGTGCAACGCCCAGCCCCTCTGAGGGGATCCTGCTGGTTCACAGCTCTGGGCTGTGAGCTGCCTCCTGGCCCCGGGCAGCTTCACAGGGCGACCTGCTGGTTCTGACACAAGAAGGAGCATCTGTCCCTTCCCTGACCCAGGACAGCTCCTCTGGGACATGGTGCGTGGCCACCAGTTCCAGGAGGCCCGGGCCACCTATGTCCTCCACGAAAATGCTAGAGCTGACCTTCACCCTTTTCCTCACCGGGCGCCGCCATTGCCATTTGCAGCCTGAACCCGACCCTGATGGGCAAACTCCGCCCAGGGCCCCAGGGGCAGCCAGAACCCCAGAACCTCCTCCAGAGCAAAAAAGAGCTCTTCTGTAGAATGAACTGACTCTGCTCGTGTTACAGGCCAATTTCCATGGCTTTTATGAACTTTTACAAAAATATAATAAAAAAAAACAGTTATGTTCATAACTAAAGCAAGGAGAAGGTCCTGAGTTTTTCTCCATCCTCCCTGCTTCTTTAATTGCACAGTCTCCCCCATTACCAGATTTCCCCCACCAAAACGAACACTTGTTCCAATTGCTTCCAGCAATGTAACAAGTAGTTCTTAGGGTTGGGAACAAGGCTTCAATATTCCAACGTGTGAGGTATGTGAAAGCACAACCTTGGAGTTTAACAAAAGCTTAGTGCTCAGTATTTATTGTCTGTTATTGGGTTTTCTTGGGTGTCACACAAGAAGCATGGACATGGAATTTGTGGAAATACAACTATATATGTATATGTATACACTGTATGATGTACACGTACTCTATAGACTGTAGATCCGTGTGACTATATTTTTGTGGAAGATTCAATTACATAAGTGTTCAAAAGACTCTGAAGGAAGGGAGCAATACGAAAAAGAAATGGTTGAGAAACTATGTTCTAAACCCAAGTAGAAAGTGCAAAAGGAAAGCAAAAAGAGAAGTAGAAAGTAAGGGAAATGTTTAGAAATTGAAAACGCCTATGTCCCCTACTTAAGCCACATGCACAAGAGAAGATGTTCAGAGAAGATAGAGCCACGGGTCCCAGACGTGCCCACCCCAGCCAGGACAACAGCATCTGCTGGATCCCTCCTGCAACAAATGAGGAGACTGCCTGCTAGCCCCTGTGACAACTACACAAACGACTTTGGCTTCCCCCAGGAGGCGTTTGACGGCAAGCAGCTGCAGAAGGCTCAAGCCCTCTCTGTCGTCCATGTGACGAACCAGAAGACCTTCCACCTCTTCTGCACAGAGGCCTCACCTGCTCCCTGGAACACGACCCTCCTGGAGGAATTGTGCTCAGGAATTTATCAGCGGGTGAACGACCTAGAAGCCTGTCTCATGCAGGAGGCGGGGGTGGGAGAGACGCCTCTCGTGAATGGGGACTCCATCCTGAGGAACTACTTCCAGAGAATCTACCTCTATCTGTGAGAGAAGCAATACAGCCCTTGTGCCTGGGAGATGGTCCGAGCAGAGATCATGAAACCCTTGTATGCATCAACAGCCTTGCAAAAGAGATTAAGGAGCAGGAAGTGAGACCCATTTCAACATTGAAGTGATTCCCTCTGACTAATAATGTCACTCTTTTCAGAGTTCTGCCGTGTCAGAGACTCTCATTTCTGCTGTCCCGAAGACATGAACACAGTCAATTTGTCAAGAGTTTTCAGAACATGTCAACTCTACAAGCAGTAGTCGCTTACAGATGACCTTGCTTGTGTCTATTTATCTATTTAAATATTTATTTAGGTAGATATATGTAAGATTCAATTTTTTTCATATTCTATGATGTGTACATTTACATTGCAGGGTATCATAAAATAAACTTTTAATATTTAATCAGTTTATCATTTTTTCTTCAGTGAACATTTGTTCATTTGAGAGAAAGAAAGTGAGGGAGAGAGAGAACAGAGGCAGGGAGGAGAGATAGAGGGAGAGGGAAGAACAGACTCCCCCCTAAGCAGGGAGCCCAAGGCAGGGCTCCATCTCAGGACCCTGAGATCACAACATCATCTGAAGTCAGATGCTTAAGCGACCCAGGCACCCCTTTTTATTGAACTTTTACGACTGGCATTCTTTTAAAAGAGTAACACTACGGGTGCCTGAATGGCTCAGTGGGTTACGCCTCTGCATTTGGCTCAGGTCATGATCTCAGGGTCCTGGGATCAAGCCCCGTGTCCAGTTCTCTGTTCAGCAGGAAGGTTGCTTCACCCTCTCTCTGCCTACTTGTGATCTCTCTCTCTCTCTGTCAAATAAAGAAAATCTTAAAAAAAAAAAAAGAGTAACACTAAGTCTAATTGTGCAGCTTCATTGAAGAATGGATGGCAGAATTCATTTACCCCTGATATTATTTTAACATCAGAAATTACAACAGACTCCTGATGTCTGTATCTTTGGTTGCTGTAGGGATGGAATCTAAAAGCAATCCTCCTACCTAGTGTTCTAATGAAGAAGGAAAGGATGTGACTTCTCTTACCTGCTGCTAGAACGGAGACATTCAGGAAGTACACAGAAAAGCTGTGGACCCTTTGACAGGTCACTGGCAGACACGGAGGCACGTATATCCAATGTCGGGGGGAGAGGAGCTGTCATTTGACAAGAAACGCCACGGCTGAGGTCCACATCTAGCAGGCAAAGCTAGAAACAGAGGTGGTCACGCAGGGAGACCGTGTCGTGTGAGAAACAGACATAAACTTGATTCTGAGGCTCTTCAACCATTGAAGGGAGGGGAGAGAAGAGCCACAAAGGAGATGGTGGACTCTTGGCCATATAGCACAGGGATAAGAGAGGATGCTGGTGAGTGTCTTTAAGGAAGTAAATGTGCTTTGAAGACCATCAGCAGATTCCTGGAAGATGTGGATTGAAACTACCTGCGATGTCAGAAACACAGATGCCTTTGCTGACCTTCCTGAGAGTCGGTTTGGTGCAATGCATGAGCAGAGACCACCCTGAAGCGGGTGGGAGCATGAGTAAGAGAAGTCAGTGCGTCTGACTTGGAGAAGAATATAGCATGTAATCTGGGAACAATGTGGGTTAGTTTTTCTGTGCATAGTTTGTCCTTTTATGCCATTTTTTTTCCTGAGTGATTTTGTGGAATTGATGTTCTTGCAAATTATGTTAATGTGTTAAATATTGCATTTATTTTGAACCATAACTTAATTACTGATAATGGTTTATCCTCTCTTGGTTATTATAACCTTGTATAGGTTAGGAAGAGATAACTCATTCAATCCTTCATGAAATTGTCTATTGCTACTGATAAAATAATGTTTCCTGGAATTATTGGTTTTATTAATTAAGCTACTTAACTTTCATTATTGTGACACTGGTTTACTACAGCAGCTATATACTGCATTTCTTTTTCTAGGGGAGTTTGCTATGATAAGAATTCTTTTATGTTACTTGCCAGGAATTTTCCCTAATTTTACGGGTATCACAAACTTCCATGAATTCCAAAATAACAAAATTATCATGGACAGAAAGACTGACAGGCTTTTTTCACACTTTGATTGGGAAGCTGGGTCAAGAAGTCTCTTAATATTTAAGGCAAAGAGAAAATTGGTTACCATCAGCTGAAAATACGAATCATGGAAGGAATCATGGAAATCCATGGAGTAAGAGCAAGTTGTGTATATTTCAGGAGTAAAACCTGATTTAATAATTATAACAGAATATCGTGAATATTAACCCAACTCATGCACTTTAAAGGCAACTAAGATCACATGTTCCCTAGAATAACTGATTTGGGAAACAAAGGAAAAGGAAAGTTACATTTTCTTTTTACCTACAGCCCATTGTCACTCCAGACATGTAGAGCAACATTCCTCTAGGAACTCAGCTGACTCCATGATAAAACTTTGCTAAGGGCAAAAGGCAATCTTAGCCCAACCCCCAGCATTCTGTAAGTCTATTTTAAGAGATAAAAATTCCTTTGGAAACTTCCTTTATCTCCAGCCCCCAAGATACAGTTTGGAAATCATCCCCCTAACCATATGACCCACCAATAAACATATGAATGGCTTCATGACTAAGGTTTTATAGACAGTAATAAATGATCTTTTCCCAAGAACAGCTAGCCCCCTCAAGGTCCTGGAAGCCTTGTTTCCAATATTCCTTAGCGACTTATGCTATCCATAACTTCCTCCCAACTTGAAAGTATATAATCAGCCACTCCTCATGACCCCAGTGCAACTCTCTCTGCTCATGGGTCCTGTCCCCTTGCTTTAATAAAACCACTTTTTTGCACCAAAGACATCTCAAGAATTCTCTCTTGGCTTTGAATCCCAACATCTTTGCTACATCAAAACCACTTAAAATATGGTAGGTATTCTCTTATTTTTCTTCAGACAACTATATATGAGAATATTGTTTGTCTCTTTCTACAAAATTCTTGGGACTTGGTGTCTTACACTTCAGAAACTAACTTCCAAAGGAGGCAACCTCTAAAATCCAGAATTCTGTCGTGGATTCTAGAGAAACCCAACCAATTCATTCCCCGTTGCCAAGAAGGGTTTTTATTTGTCACCAGTGATGAGATGGTGGCTTCTAGGAACATCTGAGAGTTGAGAATAAATATCTAGGTGGAAGTGCAGAAGAACATGCTATTTCCTTAACCTTCTGGCACCCATCCTGCCCTCCCCACTGCATTCCAGAACACATTCCCCTGTCCTAACAGTTACCTTCCTCTCCAAAGCAGAAGTCCCCAGATCACCCTTGGCATTTACACTCGTGACCTCTCAGCCTGTTCACACAACAGCTTTCTGTTCTGTTGTGGCCTCAGCTTAAAGGTTTCCTAAGGAGCAGCACAAGAAAGCAAGTAGAAGGCAAAAATGAAATGAAATCTCTAGGTTTTGCAAAACCACCTGCAAGAGAGGCTTTGCTCGGATTTCCATCCAATGTGATGGAATAGCAGCTGTGGCTGAAAGGAAACAGAAAGCAGGATCAGGTTGAAGGGTGGCCTAGTGAAGCTCCTCTCCGGGAAGACCGCCTCCTGGTGGCCAAATGCTACAAGGGTGGTGGCCAAGATTGAAGGCCAGGCTTGGGATCAATGCAGAAATCAGATCTCTTCCTGAGGATGTCCTTTGAGCTACACAAAAAAACAAAACAAACAAGAACAAAAAAAAAAAAAAAAACAAAAACTACTTGTTGAAATCCAGAGATTCTAATGCTGTCATTAACCTGTTTCCTTGTTCTATGACAAAGAGTAAGTCTTGTCCTGAAAATCCCTATAGCCTCAGGTTGGATTCAATCCCAGTGTTATTGATTATTAAATACTGGAAAGTGTTGGAGAGCTGAGCAGCAGGGTCAGAGACAGGGAAGACAGGGTGACAGGGGTGAGCATCCCTGTCAACTTTCCTTTCCCCAGTGCTTCTGGTCAACCTGCCAGGTGAGCTGGCGATGAAAGGGCTTGGTGATTGGGTGCCCTCCAATGGGCTGTGAGAAATCACCCTGCAGTACCAGCCACAAGCAGCCAAGGTTTGGCAGCTTCAGGAGCCAGAGTGCATACTTGCCCTCCCTCCACCCTCTCTGTCAGCTGATTTCTGTGCTGTGGAGTTCAAGACTCCCAGATGTCTAGTCCCGCACAGAAACACGCTAAATACACGGAGCTCAGCGCACACGTCTATACTAAAACAATCACAGATGCTCATCTCTGCCAGTGTTTGGGCGTACCTATTGATGTGGGGAACAAAGACAAAAAAGAAATGTAGATAAAATTAAATTTCCTATAACCTCCAGCCCATTGACAAACACTCCCTCCAGGAAACTCCCAAATGCCTTAATGTTGTTGTCTTGCTAGAGGGGAAAACAGTCTTGGGTTGAGAATCCTAGGCTTCCAGGATTTTACGAGTCTTCCTTGGCATATGAATACCCTTTTGGAAACTTCCCTTTATCTTTACCTCCCCTAACTAAGGTACATAGTCAGCCATTCCTCATAACCCCAGTGCAGCTCTTTCTGACCAAAGGTCCTGTCTCCGTGTTTTTATAAAACCATTTCTTTTTTTGCACCAAAGTTGTCTCAAGAATTCTTTTTTGGCTGTTGGCTCTGAACCTGAACATTTCCTACATCACTACGTTTTGATTAACAAGGGCATAGGATGCTCATTTGCTCAAAAGACCCACTGCTGCCCATCTGGAAACATGAAGGTGTTAAAGGTCAGCAGCAGTGTGGAAATCTGGAAGGAGAATAGAAATGGGAAAGTGTCCACTGGATTAGTGACTTATCCTCAGGAGGTGGAACAGTAGGATAGTAGGGCAGCATCAAGTCAACTGTATCTCTGTGTCCTTCCCGAGACTGAGAAGGTTCAACTGGATGGTGGGAGCACAGAGTTCTCCTATGCAGATGTGGTCCATAGCAGTGTCCTTATCATGGGTGACATTGACATGACAGCAGCCTGCAGGGTATTGGAAGGAGGAGGGTTACCCAATGCCAGCTG